GTACGCGGACGACTTTTTATTGGTCATTTCTGGTAGCACAGACATTAGGTTAAAAGCACAAAAAACGCAATCAATACTTTTACAAGCTGGGCAGATCAGCACAAATTAAATATCTCAGCAGATAAAACTAAACAACTGTCTATATATAGGCATGGAGCGCGAAATAGGAATCCCAACATTAAGCTAAATAGAGTCTCTATAAAAGAGGTCATTGACCTTAAATATCTAGGTATTTTAATTAACAATAGGCTTTCCTGGGTACCTCATATTAAAGAGCTTAAGCAGAAAATAAATCAGCTTAGTAATTCCATGGTTAGAACAACAGTACCTCATTAGAACACTCCAATCACTATGCTCAAAAGCTGGTACAGAACAATCTCAGAAAAGATCATATTATATGGGGCTGCCATATGGGGTAGGAAGCTTCTCACCATACAAAGAATGCAACTTTTGATCATATGCAAAGATTAAAGAACATCCCCAACGGCGGCCAAACTGCAGAATCGGAAACAACTGACACATAGTAGCCTAAAGGAGATTTTTTTATAGGGCTCGCAGCAGGTTTCTTCTTCACTGCTATATGATTGATTTACTTAAAAATTACTCTTTAATTTTTCTTTTATACATTGCAAAAAATTGGAGCAACAATTTTAACACACAAGATTTTCAACCATTTGTCACTACAGAAAAAGTATTTGGAAAAGAAATAATTTTCGAATCTCACACTTTTTCTTAGATACTTTGTCCTTGAGGAAAGATTTTAAATTGAGTGCATGTTCAAAAATGTTTTCGTTCTAGCCGTTCTAAACGTCTAGAATCGGAAACAACTGACACATAGTATAGCAGCGCTCGTGGTCTAAAGGAGATTTTCTTACAAATTCGGGTAGCAGTCAACGCGTTAAGTAAAACTGGCTCGTATTTAATGGTTTAATGGCATTTAGCGACGCGCGAAGGAATGAAAACCTTTTTCGAGATAACGCATTCCTTTCAGCATTAATTTGAATGGGAGGTTTCTAGTTGAAAACAGTTGCGTTCATTGATCTGTTATGCATACGAACCCGCAATATTTTATGCCTGAGGAAAATTAAGCTGGGACTCTGTTTCGCGTAGGAGAGGAACCCATCTTTTGCACTTCTGGGAGGTATATGTCGCTTGAAAAAGTTTCTTATTGTGTTGCACATTGATAGGTCTGATAAAGGTTTAAGTTGCACATGTTGAAAACTACGAAAATATTCCTAACCTTGTAGAGACAATAGATATATTTTTGGAAGCAGGCAAGATGAAAAATGAGCAAACGCCTTCGCCGGTAATCGAACCACGGACCTCTGTAATACCGGCCCAGTGTGCAGAAGCACTACACCACGAAGGCACGCTAGGAAGGCGGCAGAAATACCTTATATACTTCCCCTTTTAAAGGGCGACTGGGGTTTTTAGAGGACCCAATCGCCAAATCCTGGGCGGGGAGAAATCATCATCCACCACCTTTTTAGTTCGATTGTCACTGTAGAGACATTAGGATTTTTCGGAGTAGGCAGGATGAAAAATATGCAACACCTTCGCCGGGAATCGAACCGCGGACCTCTGGAATACGCTGCTAGCGTGCAGACCACCACATTACGAAGGCATGCCAAGAAGGCGGGAGAAATACCTTATACAGTATTCTGAATTTTTTTCGGTCTCAAAAAATAATTGAAGTCTAACTTCACTAGCAAAAAAACGAAGATTTTAATTTACAGAAGCTTAATCAGACCCATTCTTACATACTTTGCTGAGACCTGGGCAATAACAGAAAAAGCTAAAAGTATCATTTCTGTCTTTGAAAGAAAAATTTTGAGAAGTATTTTTGGTGGCATAAAATGTAACAATATCTGGAGAAGAAGAACTAACTCTGAACTCTATAAATCCTTTAAAGAAATAAATATAATAAAATATATATGATTCAGAGGATTGAATGTGCAGGACACCTGTGCAGAATGGATGAAAATCGAGTAACTAAAAAGATCTTTCCGGCCAGACCATTCGGCACCCAAAAAGAGGGAGACCTAAACTTAGGTGGCTCGACTGTTTGGAAACGGAGTTAAGAATTTTAAAAATAACCAATTGGATGTCCATGGTCAGGGGAATTCGATTTTGAGGAAGGCAAGGGTCCATCCTTGGCTGTCTGGTCATTGAAGAAGAAGAAGTATTCTAAAATGCTATTCCATATGGTTTCTTTTAGCAAATTCGTGGATGACACTTTAAAAGTCTATTTTTTACTCTGCTTACTCTTCTGTAGAGAGTACAGTAAGATTTTTAAAAGAGAGTGTATTTATATGTAGGTACATGAGTAATCGATTTTTATCTAGAAAAATCACTTTCATAATTAGCACAAATTGTGATGAAAATTCGCGGTAGCATTATAATACTTGTAGATTATATATTGGAGCAACTTGCAAATTTCAAATGGACTTATTTCCACGCTTTTGTTTCTACTTTTGAAGTTTTATTTCTGTTACTGCTTTCTTTGGCAATAACAGAAGTAAAACCTTGGAAGTTTTTGTCTTTCAAGAAGGACTCTTTCTTATTAATATCAGCATGATCATAATTAGTTGACAACAGTTTTATTTATTAGTATAAATTGCGATAAAACAAAGAAAGCATCGCAAGATAATGAAGCTGCAGAATTCTCGTTGCGATTTCTTTGAACACTCTGTAGAATGTAAAAACCACTTCTCTCGCCAATTCAGTTTGTATTTCACTTCATGATATTTCATCTTCATTCATTTTCTTTTCGATAATCCATGACTTCATAATAATATTTCCTTCAAAATATTCATTTTAATATGTTTTCATTTCATTCCGTATAAAATTACGTTTCACTTGAAAAATGTTGCTCCCAAATAATATGCTGCCTGTTGCGGACTGCCCGTTCAGCACCTTTCTAATCACACCATTGCGATTCAAGCCATCATAATAATCATAGTCTCTAGTGCTAATTTGTGATTGTAACTATCAAATATTCATAAATGCTTTCTGCCCCCATTTGTGCTAACTTAAAATTAAAATCATTTGCAAATTGTATTTTCGTGTGTTAGGAATGTGACTTTCTTCCGAGCAGCAATTGTTTGGTTGAAACCGGAGAAACAGAGTAAAGCTTAATAATAAATGAGGTATGTTATGTAGAGACATTAGGTATTCTTTGAAAGCAGGAAAGATGAAACATGAGCAATGCCTTCGCCGGGAATCGAACCACGGAACCTGGATACGCGCCCAGCGTGCAGACCACCACACCACGAAAGCATGCTAGGAAGGCTAGAGAAGTACCTTATATACTCTCCCTTTTAAAGGGCGACTGGGGTTTTAGGGGCTCAATCGCCAAATCCTGGTTGTGGAGAATCATTATCCAACACCCTTTTTTAGGTCGGGCGCCAATATAGAGACATTAGGTATTTTTTGGAAACAGGAGATTTTAAAAATGAGCAACGCTCTCGCCGAGAATCGGACCACGAACCTCTGGAATACGCGCCCAGCGTGCAGACCACCACACCACGAAGGCATGCTGGAAGGCGGGAAAAATGCCTTAAAGTTGATTCACATTTATAGCCTTTGAATTTTATCTTAGCTTTTAAGTGTCAAGTTTCATTAATGTTTTGCAAAAATTAGATTTATGCGTTAGATTAATTTTTATTTAATATAGTAGTTACTTTCGCTGAAATTTAAAAAATTATTCTAAAGCTGAATAATTTTTCGTTTGTTGGTACTTCACAAACTCGATTCTTCACTTGAAACGGTTCTCTTTTAGCGGATCATAAAGGAACTTCTAAAATTTTAGTTATTAAATATCAGAATTGATCTTTTCCTTTTGACAAAGAAACTGAGTAAATGCAAATAAAACGAACTATTCCCTAATGGTTACGTATACTATATGGCATTATAAACACTTTTTTTTTAATTAAAACAAAGCGGAAAATATTGAGAAAATGTCAAAATGCATTATAGATTAAACATACTAAATATTTATGTCCATTAGCTAAATAAAGTAAAATTTAATTAAGGGTCGTCGTTATAAGCCGTCGGCCAACGATGATATATGAACTAACGGGATAGGGCGGGGCAGCAGATTTTAAGCATTATATTAAAGCAATCAAACCACAGGACTGGTGACCGTTAAGACCGTTTTTGATTCACGATTTACGGGTTGACAGTCGCTTGGGAGAGGGCGACGCAGTACATTTAAAACCTGAATTATCTTCCTAAATTTCTAAAATATCTATTACCATTAAAGCCGTTGATCACAAGTGATTTGCAGGCTGAAGGTTACCGGTGTGGTACGATGCAGTAAATTTATCATGAAATGCTAGTATTACTCTTAAATTACTCGGTTTCTTAAACAATTAAGTTTTAATATTAGTTAAATTTGAAAATGAAGAACTTATACTTTGGAAAATAACAATATTGAGAACAACTAATTTGCCATACCGCATGAATTTCGAAATAAGTAAACTAAATTAAAAGTTTTGAAAATAAAATTAAAGATAAAAAAAGAGAAAAATTCCGAAAGTTTTGAAAATTTGCTAGGGTAAAGCCGAACCGAAAGACTCAAGCGTTTGATCACAGATGTCTTCAGTATTCGCGGCACTCTAGGAGATCTAGTTAGCGTCAGTACAGATTAATCGTAATAATAATTAAATGGGAAATGTATCTTTATAAGAAGATTGGTCACCGGTAGGTCAACGGTATGAGGTGGTACCGCAAATGTAGATATATTTTTGAGTTAATATTTAACCAAAGGATACCCATCACCATCAAGGTTCACCTGTAACCTATGGGTTAATGATCAGTGACATATGGGGTAGTCACTGATGTTTGCCTGTGGTAACAACGGCCAACGCGTGTAGTGATAAATGCATGATAGTAAAACATAGCACTGCAAATAATTTCCAAACACGTTGCCAAAACTCATTTTTCTTTTATTCAGACTTTCAGCAGCATGCATTAATGCAATATATTTCTTCTTCTAGGCTTTGTAATCGGCAACACGGAAACATACGTTGATCTTTCAGTTATTGTTCCTGTTGCTGCCTGCATTCTTGCCTTTATTGTAGTCACCATCGTTGTCATTATTTACTATAGGAAGTCCAAAGCTCGAAACAGTCTTGAAAGAGGTAAGAAATACTGATTATAATTCAGAAATATTTTCTTTTTTGGTGGCATTTTTATAAGTCTTATCATTGTACGAAGTAATACAATATATGTTAGCTTAATTTAATACCTGATGTATTTCCTTTTGCATGGTAAAATTAAATGACAGATAATGGTATATTTTGAAAATTGAGATCATTTCTGAAAATAAGTTACAGATAATTTGCAACAAATTGAAATATTTTAAATATCCATTTGTTTTAAGATATTGTTCTGTTCTGAGATTAATGCAGAATGTTACAATACCACTGAAAAAAATTTGAACGCTAAAGGCCAGCTATGCTGTTATAGATTAGGTATATGAAAAAAATCACTTCTTTAATAATATCATTTTTTTTATGTTTCTGAACATTAAAATAATGTGGGAACGTTGTTTAAATGTGTTTTGTTTTCATTTATTCAAAGCATGTTTGATGTTGTTGATGAATAATTTTTAATTTTAATTTCATAAAACTATGAAATTAATATTTTTCTCATTATCATTATCGTAGATTTCATATAAAGAAAAATCTTTCATATGAATAATGTCTTGAATGCTGTATTGAGTCAGATAAATATCAAAGAAATTTTTACTCCATTTGCTTGAAATTGAAATATATGCTCCCTTACACAGAGTGCAGCTTCTCATCATCATTTCAAACCAATTATTAATACTACACCCATTCTTTGGGACATTGTCCGCTAATTACTCCAGCAGAGCGCTTCCAGATAAGTCAAATCTCTGTCCAGGAATATTTTCGCTGGCTTTGGGAAATAAAAGCACTCATAAATAAATCTGGACTATTAGAAGGGTGGTAAAAATTTCTTAGGTCTTTGAATCTTTCAAAACTATTTTTTTTCTTCTGCGTGAGCTACTTACTGCATTGTCTCGATGCGATAAGATTCCTCGTAATCGAATTTCTGGTCTTTAAATTCTTATTGTTTCGACAGCATTAAATAAGCAATTTATGATCAACCATTTGGCAGTCCCCATTCATTGATCCTATTGCATCACACTTTTAATATATTCTTTTCTTTCTTGCATGCCATTTTCTTTACAACGCGTCACTTTTCTATGGATCGATCTTCATAAGGAAAAACCGAAGCCATATTGATAGAAACAAGATTTATCCATACCTGTTGAAATATTAAAAATCGCTTTCGAGAGTTCTTCATCAAATCTTGAGGCATTTGCTTTTCATTAGTTTACTCAAACCTATTTATACCGCCCAGACGGTATAGTGGTTAGGGAAGCCTACTACGGTGCCGAAGGGTCCAGGTTTGAATCCTGAATCTTGGAGAAAGCATGGATTTTGTAAATGTAGAGTGTCTTTGAGGCATAGGGACACTATAAATATATGGCGAGTCGAAAGTCCTCTCGTGTGGTTTGGTGTTAGGGGTGTCCTCCCCGGAGTGTTCTCTATCAAAACTGGGGTGGAACTAGAAGTCCAACCTCCTTAAGTCTCTGGCGCTCTTTCTTCCGTGAAATACATGGAAAAGAAACAACAACAGCTCAAGCTTGTTTTGTTGGGTTGTAAAGCAATAAGGAAATTGCTCCTGACACCAAATTTTTATGAAAGCTATTTCTAACGGTTACCAAAGCTTCCTAACACCAAATTTTTCATGAAAACTATTTCTAACGGTTACCGATCTAATATTTAGAGTATTTTGAATATAAGCATGAATTACTTAATTGCCTACTTTTAACGTCTTTTCCTTAAGTACGGTGTTTAAATCGATTTAAGGAATGGCCAGTCTCCATAGTGATCTTTAATTTGCAAAATCTATGATCCCTCCTTCAATGGACTACTTATAAATTGTGGCTTCGGAAGGAGAAGATCTCATAAAAGCACCGCATAAAACGCTTCAGACATTCGCTGTTCACTTAGTCACGATAATGCTCAGTTGAGCTCCACAGTGTTTCGGCAATATGTGACAGCTAGATAGACATAAAATAGTCTTCTCGACAAGTGGCAGCTTGTAATAAATCTTTCTATGTATATGACACCATCGAATGTCTCACCTGCAGGAAACTCAAGGTAACTTATGCTTCAGGTGGTTTTATATACAGGATTCTCAAAACTTTCGGAAAGATATAAGTTTATTAATTTTTGTAGGTTTTATATATATAGTGATCCTTCTAAACGTACGTCTTATACAATTCTGGCCCATTTTTTATAGGAATTACACTTTAGTTAAATTCATTTCAATTTCATTAGAAATATATCCTTATATTTGTTAGTTTACATACAAGTGCTTTGAAAATTAAATTATCAAATTATTTGCTCATTCTCTTTAATTAAAATTTTCTATACTTGAAGAAAAATTTTAATATTGTACCAGCTGTCGTGGCAGTAATAATACGATGCCGCTATAGCTTCCTTAAATCTTACTGCATTCGTGAAATTGTTTTTAAAAGGGAACAATACGAAGAAACATACTCTAATTATAGCCATAATCATTTGAACTTTCCCTGTTATGTGAAATGATTGTGCTAATCTGCATATCGCTGTCAAGATATATCTATATTTGATAAAATATATATTTTGAGTTTATAATTTAATACCTGTTATGAGACAAAAACATGTTTTTGTTATTGACATTTAGTGTCTGTAATCAAAATAGGTTTTCAACTCTTTTGTGGTCTCTGATAACAGTGCGCAACGTTTAGAAGAAACATAAAATTCCTTTAGGTTTTTTCCGAATAGATAGCACATTTATTGTCCACATTTAAAAAAAAAAAGATACTAATTTAAGATTTAAAAATTTAGTTCCTTTCCTCAGCTTTTCAAGGCGGTAAACCATTTCCTTATACGGGTTCCACTCAGCGGTACATCGATATCGACAAGACACGGCTTCCAGCTGAACCAGGCACTCTAACTTCTTCATATGCCACCATACCAGCGAATGAACTTACTGATGAAGCAACGCAAGAAATGAAAGCCTTTATGCATGGAGTAAGACATATTTTTTAAATAAATTTTAAGTCTTTTCGTTTATCAGAAATAGCTTCAATATAAGTTTTTGAATAACATTCGTGCTAATTAATATTTTTCTACTAAATCCAAATTCTAATTGAATTTTCAAACTGCTGATTACAGTATGATTACAGCAGAATTCCTTCTACTATTTTTTGCCACCCATTTTGTTACCTATGAATGAATGATTTTGAATATGATGATATTATGAGTGTGAAGTTAAATTTCGAACATTTTGTAAAACTAATAACGTAAAATATTGTTATAAATGTATGTTCAATATTTGTATTTATTTAAGTACACTTTTTGGTGATTTTTTTATTATTTGTTTTTTATTTATTTATTACAATTAGCACCATAGGTGCTATTAGTCTCAAATCTCAGTTTTGTGTCCATATCCGTATTATTTTGAAATGTTGCCACCAAATGATATCACTATATATTATTTTTAAATAAATAATACAAAAAAACTAATATAACTAATACAAAAAACCCGCAAATAAAAGGATTTTGCCGGATTATTACCTCTGAATATTTTTTTAAAGAAATAATACAACGAATACAAAAAAAAAAAATGTACGGCAACACTAATTCTACCAAATGTCATCGCCATGTATTATTTTTAAAAGAAATAATATAGCGAATATTAAAAAAAGTATGGCAATATTTAACACCTTATCGGAAATTCTAATGATAACTCAAATAAAATATTTTTAACTTTGCTCCAGTTTGTTGCCGTTTGGTAAGAAGATAGTTAATTTTTCTTTTAAATTTAATCTACTTTTTATTCTGCTGCAAACTAAGCGATTTAAAACCAAAAAACGCAGTTCTTTATTTCTTTTATTAATAGCCAACTGGACCTGTGAAATGACATTAATTAGATTAATTAGAAGCATCATATATATTTTTCTTTTTTTACAGTAACTACTTCAGAGGGGTGCCACGCCAACGCCTAGTTAATTAAAAAGTGAAACGCACAACAAAAGGGATTCGACACAAACGTGAGATTCAAGAATAATAGCCCTTCTGTATTTAAAAAAAAAAAAAAAAAAAAAAAAAAAAAAAAAAAAAAAAAAACAGTTTCATAAGAATTTCTGAAGATAATGCTGTTTTTAAAAATTTTTGTGATGTTGTTGTTGAATTTTATGTGGCGTGAGGGCGAAGAGAAAGATGTATAATATTAAAATTAAAAGACAAAAAAAAAAATTGTGTCAACAAGAGCGAGTGGAAAAGCAGATACCTGCGAGCTCAACGAGAGCATAAAAAAACCATAACAAAGCATCTAGTGCTATGTTAAGATTCAGATTTAATTCAGATGTCCTTTCAAATTTTTTCTTTTTTTTTTAATATCATATTATTGTTTTTATTTACGTAGTACTATTTTACGTTATTATATAAAACATCATGCAATCAAGTTTTAAGAAATATCATTTTAAATCCAAACTAGTACACAAATGAAAAGCACAGAACATCCACATCAGGTTTCAAGCTTCGATGTTTATTCTGTTCGATCACACATTGCCAGATCCACAAAAAAAAAAAAAAACATCTCGAAGCATGGCGATTAAAGCATTTACTATGGCTGATTAAAATAGATTTTCAAATAAAATTTCTTACACTTTAGACCCACCTAAACAGATGTTCAGAACAATCAAGATTACCGTTAGGAATGAAAATCTTCAAGATTAACACAAAACACAATTTCTTATAACCCTTTCACATTCTGTCTGGATCTAATTATCCAGTATTTTTCACGGAAAAACATTACAGTATTAGCTACACCTATATAAAAAACTCGTTCATGTGCATCACGCATCAGAAGATCTGCAAATTGAGTTTTTGAAATAATAATTATAGGGATGCTGTTTGTGAAAACTTAAAGCCTATTTTTATAGTGTTCCTACTACCAATAGTCCTTCATCACTTCGAAAATAATTCACTTCATAAATTTTAGAGTTTTTGAAAATCAGTTGTTCAGATTTTTAAACTATTAAATTTAATCAGGAAAATGTTCATGTTAAACTTCTTTTATGAAATGCAATTTTCCTGAGATCAAGACTACTGTTTTCTTGTCAGTTTTATTTCTTAAGTTGTGAATCCCTCCAGTCACACTAATAGCCGTAATTAATTTATTATACTGCCCAAGATCCAAAAAGAGGGTTAGACTTTTTTTTTTCAATAAAAAGTAGTATTGCGATATTATTTACACACTTTTCTCCTGTAATTCAACATCAGAAAATTCCGTTGTTGCAATAGATTTACTAAACTAAGTACTCACCAATTTAGCTAACCAGGTTGATCCAGAGCCATAATTTTGAAGACAACAAATATTCAGCTGATCACCCTCGAGTCAAAATGTCGGCTGGATTGGATTTTTCACTATAATCTATGTTATGTAGAGAAATTATCTGATAGCGTTGTAAAAACTATGTGAATGATTTTATGATTTATGGAAATCTTAATTTTTATTTGATTATGAATTATTTATTTTTAGGCTTTAATTTTGGGGAAAAACAGATGCTTCTGGAAATAGTATTTAGTTTAAAAGAATATTATTCATTTTCCTCTATTTGCAAATCTTGTACAAACTTTTATTCATTGTGAAAGAAGCAGGGAAAGGGAGGCAATTGTTGCCAAGTCATGATTTCGCGCGCTTTGTCCTTTAGAATGTTCGAGAAAGAATTTTCATTGTTAGTTGACCTTAAGAGAGGAAAGTACGTGACAGAAAGGTCAAAGGTTGCTACTTGTCTTTCAATGTAAGTCATTCAGGTTTTGGCGATTGAGGGTCCGGTTGTTGGCTAAGTGAAGAAGGGCGCGCATGCGCGATCACCCTTATTTCCGCATTCTGGAGTTGAAAGCGAAAATTTTGCCATAATTAAGGGGGCGATAAATGAAGCCATAGTGGGAGCCCGCGTTGGTGAAGGAGACGAAGGAAATTCGAGTTGGAATCACTCACTGGCTGGGCTGAACTCACTCTGTGGACGTTACTCGCTTGATTTTCCGGGCTTGAAAGCGATAGACAAAATGTAATTTACGAAGAGAGATGGTTTTCCCGGCGGGGAGCGGCAAATATGCTCCCCGGCCGCGTTTTGGTTAAGAGGCGAGACTCACTTACTCTTGGACTCGCTGACTTTCGGGCTTGCTGGACGTGTGGACGTTGCTCTTGAAAACTGGCTTGAAGGAGATAAATGTAATTGACTACGAGAGATGTTTTCCGGCGGGGAGCGGCAAATATGCTCCCCGGCCGCGTTTTGGTTAAGAGGACTCTCTTACTGACTGGCGGGTGGAACTTACTTGGGACGAGACTCGTGAAGCTTGCTCTTGGGATGAGTAAGAACAGGCGAGCCGTAATTGCCTAGAAAAAAAAAACGTTTCTGGCCTGAAGTTGAAAACCCTCTTCCTTGCGGCGTGCTGGTAAAGAGGCGAAATTTGAACGAGTTACCTGCGTGTTGACATAGGACTTTCAGGACCAAGCGGATAGCCGTCCTGGGCAGCAGTGCTCCTGTTTCTGTTCTACAGTGAAAAAAATAACGTACCAGTGTAACGATGAGCCCGGTCGACGTCAACTCTTATTAGGATACGAGTCCTCCGCTTCAAGATGTCCCCTCAAGATAAGTTTTATTTTATTTTTTTTTTTTTTTTGGTATGTTTGAACTTTAGGCAAGCTTTTCAAAAACGTCCTTAGCAGTAAAAAACAACGTCGAATCTAAAATTTAACTCTCATGCCTTAAATTGTTTCCCTTTCCTTTCTTTTAAATTACCAGACAAACCTTAAGTTTTTTTTTTTTTATGAATTTAATGAACAGACTCTCAGATGAGGTTGAGATTTTTCTTATTGTGATGTAATTGAATAAACTGATATTTAATTTGGAACCTCTTACAGTATGTTTTCTTTATATATTTAATATGTTTTTCCTATATTTCTTGTATATGTTTTTCTTATGTTTTCGATCCTCTCACGGGCGCGGTCCAGGGATGCATTTTTTTTCACAACGCAAAAATGCTGTACACGTTTCACTATACGATCACTAAAATTTTGTTAGTTGGCAAATTCTTAAGAGTTTAGTTTTCCTCCCTAAGAGGAAGTAGAAACCTTTTCACGGCAAGTAGTTTCATATTTAACATTTAACATATAGGAATTTCAGATATAACCTGGTACCTTGAAGTAAAGCTATTTAACCTTGGTGTCGAAACTTTTCTTCATAACATCTATCCAGATACTTGGGCAAATTAATGATTATATTTCCAATACTCGATTTTTTACGAATATTTTCCAACGTTCAGGAGCATTATGGATCCAGTGTATCACTATCACGATGTAATTATACAAATAGATATTTTCTTCATGAAATGAAAATAATTCTTTTAAATTTTTTAGCAAGTCTTGCCGATATTAATGCTCCTAGACTTAGCCTTGGCAGTGTAAGTTTGTTTTATTGGTGCAATTCCAGATTTTGTCTTAACGCAGATTCCCCGTTCTCAATCGGTATGAAACATGCGATTGCACTGTATGTTTTAATAGATGCATTGTGGAATAAATACAATTCGGTACCTTTAATTTGATTAAATTTACTGGAGAAATGTTCGCGAAAAATTTCAGATTTCTTTAACTTTTCAGTTGTACTGCACCACTCGAACCACAATCGTTTACGTTCAGTTGGAACCTCGTCAAAAAATTCTAAACCCAACTACCAAATGTTCTGCATTATCAGTTTTGCTTATAGTTCAAATAAATTTATAATTTTGCTTATAATTGTCAGGAAATCTATTGAATCGAAAATATTAGCAGTTACCTTTAATATATTTCTTTTTGTAATGCTCCTACAACTATTTCATGTTTCACACAAATTATCTACGTTCAATGAAATTATGTCTCTATTTGTACACCAGTTCAGCTCTTACACAATTTAAGGAATTATTTCGTTCATTTCTTGACTTAATTATCTCACTATCATCCCATAGTTTTATTTCTTTTGCAT